GGTGTATAGGACGCAAGCAGATTTTGTCATCAAATTTTGGGGTTAAAAAGTGCATCTTATACACGGAAAAATACGGTACTTGGAAATATGGTGATCAAATGGGATTAATTAGTGGTATGAGCACAGTAGGAGTAAGAGAGGTAGGTGAGTAGATTTGCAGGGTTTGGCTTCTAGTGTTTAGCCAGTGGCCAACAAGGATCACTATAATTTTTTGTTACTTGATGATCCAAGTAGGATTACGAATGTTCATACCAATTTTACATAATGGTCAAATTGTTAAAAAAAGTACATTTAACACAAACACATCTATATTTGATACTATATGAGTGAGTGGTGAAAGATAGACCTGTGATAGCTAACTATTCAGTTGATCGGAATCCTTTTTTATTGAATATATTAAGTTTACTGTATTCAAATAACCTACAAATATAAGTAAGAGCTTATTATATTAAACAAACTTTCTACTTAGAACACCTGATAACAGTGACATCATTTTGAGATGTGAAGTCTGTCAGTCTTATGTTTGTATGATTTATAGAAGGAAGTTGAGTTTCAATCACAGAATACAGTATCAAGTTATTTTAATGAATATCAAACAAGTTAAAACTGACTGGATATATAAAATGAAACTTTGTGATGATTGTTAAAAAATAGAAAAATGTTGGCCAAACTGAAGTAAAATTTTTACAGCAATATATTTATTTGATAAAAACTATTAGGCTTGCCAGGATCTCGGTACTTATTGCACTGAATTGTGGCTGTGACACTGGTTGTCCTAGGTAAGTGGTCTGAGATAGAGACATGCACCAGGCACACTGGCCATTTGTTTGCTGACATTTTATTACACACTGTGTGGAAACTTATAAGCCAGGATGAGACTGATAAAAGAGATATAATTTCATTGTGAAAGTAGTGCATCTTTAACATCCAACCCATTATTTACTGCATCATGAGGAGCATTAGAAGTGATTTATGCCTGGACACATGATCAGTTTATGATGGTAGTTGTCTGATCAATAACTGCAGATCCTCAATGAAATGTGTTTCAGGAGAGGGAAGATAGATATTTAATTTGTTAATAAATTTGTAGTCTAGGTCATCATAATACCCAAATTTTGTGTACATACTATACATTTTAATATAGTAAGTGTATCTTTATGAAATTTGGCATCCTTTTACTAAGTATTACTAGTCTTTTATACATAAAAAAAATATTTTTAATCAACATTTTTTACAAAAGATTTGTTTGAAGTTATAAAGTTGGAGTCTGTCTCAGATTCTGACTTCTGTGAGTGCAAGGTGATTTTCATATTATGATTAAAAATACTTTCTATCTTACTTGCATAACCTCTACTAGTACCTTGTAATAAGCTTTTTTTATTATAGTAAAGCTATTTTATCTATTATTTTCTCTATCCTAACACTTTTTGACTGAGTTTGGAACCACCATAGAAAATACAAAATTTGTATTGTCTTTTTTTTTTGCTGTCAGTCTGTTGATGAAACTTAAACCTTGTTTATGATAAAGATAGTACTAGTATTGAGATTGTGGGATATAAAGTAATGTGTTTTTCATCAGGCGGTCTACTGTAATGTGTTAAACTACTGTGCTCTCACCTGATGATTAGAAAATTGTTATTACTTGAAATTGATATATGCAATTTCTACAGGCTATACACATTTTTAAAAAGGCTACCACCAAAGGTGGTGAGGACTATCAATTGAGCAAAAATTACTGCTAATAAAGTACTTTTTATAAACCTATCTTACCACACCTAAGCTCTGGCTTAGAAACAGAAAGCTTGTAGTTTGTAGCATTGTTTTTTAAAAATAGAAATGTATTGAATGTATTGAAATGATGAAAGAGCAATGGTATGAAAGCTGAAGATCATATTATACCTGACTCCTAGTGAGTCACCAATAGGAGTGTATGTATGTATAGTCATTCTTGTATTTCTTGATGAAGGAGTTACAATTCTGGGTAAATTCTTACAATAAATACATGCACACACATTTGAAAACTTTGATTGTACTTAAAAAAAAAAAAAAAAAAAAAAAAAAAAAATAATCATGCACGTCTATAAAAATCCAAAGTTGTTTAAACTTTGGCAGCAATCAATTTAAACTCACATTTGGTA